CCTGTATCTCTTTACCATTACCCAAACTCTGGAGCCTAATTCTATGTCCGAAGCCACTTCTTCGCAGCCAGCTGACTGGAATTTTTGCACTGGGCAAAGCCCAGGCGCAGATGTGCAGCAGTTATCGCATGCACACGCTCGCGGGCACGACCCTGCGAGGCGGCCGAGGCATTGCAGGAGGAAGCCGTACCAGCCCCGATCTGCTTCTCCTGGGGACACGGGGATCGACCGGAAGCCACTCTGCCTTCCCCATGGGAACACTGACGGACACGTCGGTGCCAGAGCTCAACGCCTCTCCAGAAGCCCAGGACCTCATGTGAATGGGACCTTGCTACGGAGATCCAACAGTTCATGAAAAAACAGAAAACCATGAACTTTCCTCGGCCAATTTCTCTGGCATTTTCATACATTTATGAGACTGACGAAGGTAAAGCAAGCCCAGGATATTAATTAAAGTTTATCCATAGAGTGCACGGACCAGAGGGCGCTCGGGTGTGAGGCTGAGACACTTGCACACCGTCAGCACGCTCGGCCGCAGGGACAAAGCTGATGTACCCCCCTTGCTCCAGAGGAGCATCGCTGCCCTGCAGCAAACACACTCGGCTGCACAGACTGCAAAAATAACACACCCAGCTGGCACTTTGAGCATGACTTTTGTTGGTTCGAATCAAAAAAAAAAAAACAACAAACCACACCAAAATGTTCATTGGTGTTTACACGCAAGAGATCGCCCAAAAAATGACATATGATTATTTTGCAAGGAAACCAGCTAAGAACTATTTGCAGGAGAGAGAAAATCCTCATTGTCCAAGGTCACGGCAACTCTCAGCATTATATTTTCTCAGCAATACACGTGACAAGAATGACTCCTAACACAACCCTTTGGACAAATGAAAATGAAAATATTGACTGACCTACTGTTGAGAAACAGATGCTGAATCGATATAAACTTACTAGTTGGAGCAGTGAATGGACTCAGGCATTAACAGGAGCGGGCTGGGAGAGCGTAACGACGCTGCCAGCACCCAGACTGTGAAATGTTTTTATGCGATGAGCAGTAAGTATCACTGCTAAAACGGCCTTGTAAATGTTCTGCATTCGAGGATTTTTAAAAAAAGATTCATTAATCCACCTGCTACCAGGCTTGGCTTATCGTATGTATTTTTGCACCGCATTTGTTTCTCTTTCCTTCCAGTTAAAGCTATGCCATCTTTTAAACATGAGGCAATGGAAGCAACAGTAGGCACTACGAAAACTTACTTCACCATGTAAAAAAACACGGAGGCACCACAACTGCGTGCTGGCGTGGGCTGGGCTGGAGCTTTTGACTGAATTACGTTTTCTGGTCCTTTCAGGTGCTTCCTACCGCCCCCTGCTTCAGGATCTCCGGGCCATCCCCTCCGCCGTCACAAGTATCTTAAAAGAGGAGAGTTCACCAGCCCAGAGAAGAGGTCGTGGTAATCCAGCCCGTGAATCATTTCCACTAACAAAGCCACCAAAAATGAGTCAGTCCTTGGCTTTGTGTGGCCAAAACACAAAGCCATGAATCCATTGCAGCATTTTTCTTTGCAGTAAAGCAAAAAGGTTTACAGAAATCATTCCTGAATCTAGTAGTATTTATCAACTTCTTGGAAATACAATCGTGTCTTAGCTAGAGCAAGAGGAGAGGGGAAAAAAGTTCTTTTTAAGTAACTGGGAGGTCTCCCATTTAGTGCTTTTATTCCTCAACTTAATCCTCTATTTCACATGGATGCCACGGACAATTCGCAACAATCTTTTCACTGGAGGCCAAGCTCCCACCGGAGCGGGCGGAAGCCCATGGACAATGGACAGATCCCATTCGCTTCCTCCATGGCGGTCCTACCTTCTCCGTAGGCAGATTTGATTTCCTCCAGCACGTGCTGTTCTCCCTTTATCCGATCCTTCTCCCCTCAGACTGCTTTTCCTTCTTTCATGGGAACTGGAAATAAAACCTCAATACCTGCTTCCTACAATACCTGCAAAAATAACCTTAGAGCAACTTTCAAATGATTGCAAAATATTTTTTAAAAACCAATTGCACAAATAATTCTGGTATTTGGACAAAAAAAAAAAAAAGCGACTCCTCTGTAACACAGCCGAGCTTTTTTGCGTGAGACCGTTACTGATGCAAAATGGTTTAACCATTTTCACCACACCAACATCAGAAACCACCGGCACGTTTGCAGCGGAGTCTGCTCACCCCTGCATCCAGCGCAAAGATGGCCGCAAAGGCCCCACCACCACAGGAGAGACCTGGAAGCCCCCAAAGCACCTCAGAGCTGGTTTTGGAAAGGAACGGTGAGCGCTGGGCCAAGTGCAAGCCCTAACGCAGGCCACACCGTGGGTGCCTGCCGCAGGTCCCTTCCCACCGAGGCAGAGCCGCTCGGTAGCCCCTCCGCAGCCAGAGTCCCCTCAACAGCCAGGAAAGCCTCCATCCCTCTCCCAGGCATGGCTAGCTAAAAGGAATAGGAGAGACCTTGGTGCTTCTTGCATAGAAACGGTGAGATTATTGAATTCAGAGTTATTTGCCACAGAACCTCAATCTCTATTAGCATTTCTTGTTATCCCCTCCAAGGCCAATGGCCAAAGGAGAGGTCCTGTGTTGGGATCGCTCCCAACTGCATCCCAACATTTCAGTGGTCACAGCCTGACCCAAGTAAGACTCAGACGCATGGTGACAGTCCAAGAGATCCTGGGGTTATCAAAGCAACTCTAAAATGGGGAGCGGGGGAGAGGGAGCAGTGATGCGATGCTGAAGGTTCAGAGATGCCGTTTCAGGCGCGCGCGGTACAGAAGGTGCGATGCAAACCCTCCCACCCAAGCCAGCTTCAGGAAAATCACCCCGCTGTGCCTTCTGCAAAGGTCACTGTGCGAGGCAGTGCGCTTTAAAACCTCCATGGAAATCACAAACATTGCCCATGGCAAAGGCTGAGCCAACACGGCCATCTCCCCTCTCCGGAGCAGGACGGAGCATGCTGTTTTCCCAATCAAAAGATGAACCCCGTATCTGGGAGATTAGCCTGAATCCTGTCTGAACCTGCTCAGAGGTTTACAACGCTGGAAGGAGAAAACAACCCGGCTGACAAGATGCAGGCAGGAAGGCCAAAGGTATTTATTTGGTCGCTGCAGATGACCACAGACCTGCCACTTAGGTGGTACAACGTGGCTGAGCCGTCACAGACCCAAAATAATTATTTGAGCTTGGAGTCGGTGTTAACCCACGCCAAACACAAACGTGGGTTTCTCCAGATCCCGTCACCCACCCGCTTTTGGCTGCACATCCCTCCCCTGCGCTCCCAGCACTGCTGTCTGCAGAGGAACCACTGAGCTCTAGGTGGCTGCAGCTTCAGGCCACCGAATGCAGAGGAACTGCCAAACACAAACGTGGGTTTCTCCAGACCCCGTCACCCACCCGCTTTTGGCTGCACATCCCTCCCCTGCGCTCCCAGCACTGCTGTCTGCAGAGGAACCACTGAGCTCTAGGTGGCTGCAGCTTCAGGCCACTGAAGGCAGAGGAAC